CTTCCCCCCCCCAATTAAAGAATTTTAACTTTAGGCCACGTTAATAGTGGAAAAAATTCTGAAGTGATTTATCTTTGTCTCAAAAACCTGGAATTTTAACAGGGTTGTGTAGACTTTTTATATCCACTGTATATAATTTACAGTCAAAACATGATGATCTCATAAAATATGACACCATTTACTTCAGTTAACCAACAGTATATTTGACGAACCATAAAACCAAAATTCTGGGTACTACTTTCTAATAAGGCCTAGGTATAAATGTAATCAATCATAATTCATAAGTATTTCATAGGGACACCACCCATATGAATAATTTTACTTCTGCTCTTTTAAGTACACTTTGCTTACTGTACTTCTTTAGCTTTACTTAAAGCTACTCTGCCTAATTTCGTTTCAGCTGCTGGAGAGTCTGAGACTCAGAGCAAACTGACACTATGAACTGCTTCTAACCCAGAGTAGAATAAGAAACACAGTGGTGACATCTCCACTGACTCTATAAGGATTGTTTTTACAGTAATGGAGGATCATGGAAACATCTAATATTTCCAAACATTAGGAGCAGTGCCACACAGTTGCATTGACTTGGCTGCTGATCTTCCAAAGTCTGAAGTTGAAATGAATAACAAGAATTATACTTGTCATTTTAAGTTTGCGACATGTGTCAAAACACATTTTACAACCTTTTGACTGTCTCTCTCAAATATTGTGTCCCTTTAATAATTAGGCATCTAGCTCACTGGTAACATTAGCTGAGCTAACTACAACAAAAGAACACAAAATTAATTTGTAAGGCTGTACAAGTCATGAAAAATAGTAATGGCTGATAAATCCTGCTCTTTCATTCTCCCACTCTGTCTGCGCAAAAGAATGACCTCTTATCTTGTAGTTGTTGAAAGCTCCACCAGGGGGCAGATTGTCATGGAGGGGATTAAGATACTGTATGTATAAAATCTTAGTTAATGCACCTTTAAGGAAGTTTACTAAAATCAGGACCTTGCTTTTACTTATAATGGTGTATTTTTATATTGTTATATTGCCACCTAAAGAGACCCTCTGGAGTTTTAAAGTTATGTTCACATCCAGTGTTACTCACCACAGTGCATTGTGTACATCCTTGACTAACATGTTAGATGCATTTCCTTCCTCATAAAACATTTTGTGAACCTGACTTTTTAAAATATGTGTTGTGGAGAAATATATAAAGGACATGGTATCGGTAAACAAATCAGTACAGTGCATTCAGTTTTGAAGGACGTGGATCAGGATCCAGGGCAAAAAGTAAGAAATCTGTAAGAAATTTCCCCATGGGGATTCATAAAGTATAATAATTTTTTAGTAATTGATTTTTAAAATTTAAAAAGACACCTGTATCTTCATTATAGTAATGCCACCGTTTATTCCAACAAACATGTCTGTTAACCATGACATTTCTTCCAGAGGGGGCATGAGGCGCAGTTTAGCCGACATTGTTGTGGCCACTCCTGGTCGACTGGTTGATCACATCAACAAGAATTCAGGCTTGTGCCTAGAACACCTCAGGTTTCTTGTGAGTTGTTAAAACCTGGAGAACTTAAAGCAATATATTTATGAACAACAGCCGATTTAACTGACAGTGAAGGTGACATCTTTATTTGTGGCTTTCATTCTCTCATCCATCCCAGATCATTGATGAGGCTGACAGGATGATAGACAGCATGCATCAGTCTTGGCTTAGCCAGGTGGTGAAGGCGGTGTACAGGTCAGGAAGCGGACCTGATGCCGTGTCCATCTTCAGGAGGACTGAGCCAGCATATGTCACAGCAGCCAGGTGAGTTCACATATTTCCTGAGGTGTCACAGTCTACCTCCATCTTTAGTAGGTAGTGTTTTTCTTCTGAGAATTTCAACAAATATAAAATACAGTAGTTGCCTTGACAGCTAATTGAAAGTGGAGTACAGTGAGTTTTAAGAGCTTTTTCTCTGGCAGCTGCTGCTGGGAGTAAGGTTGATGAGTGACCATGTACTAGTCTGTTTCTCCTCTCAGTCTGTCTCCACCTCAGATGCCGGTGCAGAAGCTGCTGTTTTCTGCAACACTCACACAAAACCCAGAGAAGCTGCAGCAGCTGGGCCTCCACCAGCCCAGGCTATTCAGCTCCATCCCCAGTCACTTCAGCACCACACAACCAACCACCACCCAGAATCAAGACCACTTCAACTTCCCCCAGGGTCTGACGGTAAGAAATGACCTTTGAACCACAGGAAGGGGCACAGGCAGACATGGAAGTGGAGCAAAGAAAGCAGATAGACAGGGAATGATTTAGCAAACACTTAATGTCACTTTGTGAACAATTGCATTTTTGTGTCTTTAGGAGTACTATGTTCCCTGTACATTAAACAAAAAGCCCCTCCTCATCCTCCACTTCATCCTGCGTATGAAGCTCAGCCCCATCCTCTGTTTCACCAACTCCAAAGAGACTTCACACAGGTTGGAGAGAGCTGTTTCAACCAAGCATGTCTGTGTAGTTTGTTTTTTTTTGCCAACCACATTGTAGACTCTAAATTTTCCCAATGTCTTTCCTCCTCAGACTTTTCCTGCTGGTGCAGCTCTTTGGTGGAGTACATGCTGCTGAGTTCTCCTCCCGACTCTCTCCTGGTGAGAGGAAAAAGACGCTGAAGGAATTTGAACAAGGAAAGATCCAACTGTGAGTCTGTGTGTGTGTAAAGTAAAGGAAAGGGGATGTTTGTGTACCTGTACACACACAGATATGTGTAGTTGATGAAACAAAGTAACAAAAATTAGCTCCCACAGACTTTTAGTGTGAATGTGTTAGTACAGCAACCATTGTCAAGTATTTCACTTAAAAACAAGCTGATGTGTACACATACTGTTAAAAAAAAACAGGCAACAGTCGGGGACAGGAAATCAATTATTCATGGAAACATACATAAAAACTGAGGTTTTGTGGTATTTCTGCACAGTTTCCAAAGCAGTATTTACTGTTGAGAAGAGTGCTCAAGAGGGCTTTTGTATTTTTTTTGACAGTAAACGATTGAGATTGTGCTTTACATCAGTTCTTGCTTCTGGTATTATAGTCACTGGCCAACAGAACAAGTGGCAGTTGTCATTATGTATATGGATGTAATAGGTTGTGTCAGTGCACCTTGGGTTATAGTTGAGGAACTTTATGCTGCAAGTGTTAGTAATTCTTATATTAAATTATAATTCAAGAATGGTTTAACACTAACTGAGATATTACTATGTTTGGTGAGCTATTTTAAATATTTGGTGGCTAGAACAGCAGTTGAAACGTTTGCTAGTGACTGTTTGGTAACAGTTAGCCTTAGTGGTTGAAGTGTGTGGGTGCAGACAAAGAGGGGGTGGTTCTGTTGAGCCTTCTTGGTGTTGTGGGCCCACGTCAACAAAACACCAGTTAGCGAGAGGGTACCCACCTGATGACCCTGTATGCCCACACAGAACTTGTGTTGGTGTTGGGGATAATATAGTCACAGACTCATTGGAATTGTTAATAGTCTTCTTTTGTTAGTCAGTCTTGGTAGAACAGTGTCAGTGGTTGGACAACTGAGCAGACCTGGCTCTCAGAGGTGACTGCCGTTACAAGCCAGCTGGACCAGCCACTGCTTAGCCTGAGCAAATACAATGGAGATGCTGTGTGTCAAGCCACATATCTGCTCTTTGCTTGGATGAGGATAGGATTCAGGGATGCTTTGTGTTAATGACTGGAAAATGGTGTTGCTTATTGTGGGGCTCTTAGGATTTATGACGGCATGGCCCGACACCCCCCTAATAACGGATAAACATCACTCAACTTGAATACTGAGCTTCCATATGAATGCTCTTCCATTCCTTGGCACATTTAATTGTGTATTATTGACTGACTAGAATCCATTTTTCCATGTTTAGATTTTGTGGACACTGATTTGTATTCAGTTTTTGTAGTTGTGCAATAATTTTATAGTTCAGTGAAGGGTGCTGTCCCGTAGGTTGATCAGCACAGACGCAGCTGCCAGGGGAATCGACATCAATGGGGTCAAATGTGTGGTGAATTATGATGCACCACAGTACATCAGGACATACATTCACAGGTGAGCTGTTCATTGAACTTATACATTCAGTGTATACATTTATTGTGCTGTACAAACCCCACTTCCAGAAAGGTTGGGACATTTTCCAGAATGCAGTAACAACCAAAATCTGTGATTTGCTGATTTGCTTGAACTTTTACTCAACTGACAAAAGTAAAAAGAAAAGGTTTTCAGTATTTTCACTGACCAACTTAATTGCGTTTTGTTAATATATAAACAAATTTAGAATTTGATACCTGCAACACAAAAAAGTTAGGACAAAGACTTGTTTACCACTGTGTTACATCACCTTTTCTTTTAATTACACTAATTATTTGGGAACTAAAGATACTAGTTGCTGCAGTTTTGCAAGTGGAATATTGGCCTATTCTTTCTGGATTCTTCTCTTCATGACCTGCAATGCATCTTCAGTAGGAGACAGATGTGGATGGCAGGAAGCCAGTCGAGCACACGCACTCTGTGTCTACGAAGCCATGCTGTTGTAGCATGTGCAGAATGAGGCCTGGCATTGCCCTGCTGAAATATCCACAGACTTCCTGGGAAAAGATGTTGCCTTCATGACAGTATGTCTCTCTAAAATCCCATCATACGCCTCAGTGGCATATGCAGACATCACACATACGCAGCTCACCGGTCCCATGGGCACTGATTGAAGCTCCGCACCATCACAGATGCTGGCTCCTCCACCTTTCACTGATAACAGTCTGGATGGTATGTCATCTTTGGCATGGGGAACCTGACGTCTGTTCTTCATGAAAACAGGTTGAAGCATGGACTTGTCTGGCCACAGAACACGTCGCCACTGATGAGCTTGGTCCAGAGAACTCAACAGCCTTTCTGCACAGAATCGGTCTATGGCTTCCTCCTTGCGTAGCAGTTTCAGGCTGCATTTCTGGATGCAGCAGTAGATTGTGTTAAGTGACAATGGTTTTCCAAAGTCCTCCCGAGCCCATTTGGCTGTATTCATAACAGTAGCATGACAGTGGATGCTCCTTTTCTAACCAGTTAATCTGCTAATTGTGGAATCATCCAGAAAAGTGTTGCTGGAATATTCTATAAACTTTTCAGTCTTATTTAGCCTCTGCCACAACTTTTTTGAGTGTGTTACGGGCCTCAAATTCTACAAAATGCATTTAGGTTGATCAGTGAAAACACTGAAAACCTTTTAGCTTCAAGCAAATTAACAAATCACAGATTATAGTTTTTATTGCATTGTGGCATTCTGAACTATGTGCAGTCTGTTTTCTTTTATTCTTCTTGAGCCGTGTTTTGAACTCGACCAGAGTCCACCTGTGGCAAACTGAATTGTTTGGATAGTTTAGGAAGACACCTGGATATAGAAGGTCCCACAATTCCCACTGCATGCCTTCACAAAAAATGAGTCATGAAGTTTAGGAACTCTCCTAGACCTCTGTGATGAAACTGTGATGAGGCATGGTCAGGGCAAGGGTTTAAAACTATTTCGAAGGCTTTGAGTGTTCCCAGTAGCACAGTGGCAGTCAATAATTGTGGAATTGAAGACTTTTGGAACCAGCAGGACTCTTCCTGGAACCAGTCGTCTGACCAAACTGAGTAGGTGGGAGAGAAGGGTCTTGGTAAGGGAGATGAGCATGACCCCAACCATGATGCTAACAGAGCTTCAGAAGTCCCCTGCTGAGATGAGAGACCCTGCTAGAAGGTCGATGGTTACAGCAGCACTCCATCAATCAGGCCTTTTCTCATAGAACGACTTCGTCATTATTGTGCTCTGACTGAAACTACTGTGTATGTCCTGTCTTCCTTGTCTGTGTTCAGGATTGGAAGGACAGCAAGAGCAGGAAAAGCAGGGCTGGCCTTTACCTTTCTGCTCAGAGTACAGGTGAAACGCACACATATATACATACATACATGCACACATATATACAGTATATATGTGTGTGCGCGCACGCGCAAAGATCCAATCAGCCAGTCGTGGCTGCTGCAGTGCATAAAATCATGCAGATGCAGGTCAAGTCTGAGAATTGCCAGATGACCACTCTTTACAATTGTTCTGAGCAGAAAAGCATCTCAGAATGCACAACACATTGTAATGTGGGGTCATGTCCACGTGGACCAAAATCTCACAGAATGT